GTGCAGGTCCTGCTCTCCCTGCCGCTGATAAGAATGTTATTCACCACCCAGAGAGGAAAGACCGGAGTATGTGGTTTCAGCCCGTTGAAGCCACTTCCTTAAATGACATGACATCAGATTGCATCTTCTAGATGGTCGGCACCAGTTTTATGAACAGCAGATCAAACTATCATTAATGAGGGGAAAGCGCCTTTAGAAGCAATCAGTAGAGTCTTGCTGTGCGTCGTTGGGTGCCCTTGGATGGTCATCTGGCCTTAGGTTTGACAGAACAATCCAGTAGGGCTCAGAAAAGTCACCTTTGGAATATTGAGCCTTGCCCGGGGACTCTTAAGAAATCTATTGCATGCATAGATGGAACACACAAAAGCAACTTGATTGTCAGTCTCTGCTCTGATGATAAGCTTCCCCTTTCATGATGAAATCTGAGGTAGTTTTGCTCATTCCCTACTTAAGATGGCAATTCTCTAAGAGTGCAGATCACACGGGCTTCCAAGAAAGACGATTTTTGATGCAATTCATATAAAAGAGTCATCACTCCCAAGATTTCGCTGTTATGAGAAAGGGTTACCCCTTTCTTCCCCATTTACACCAGAGAATTCCGAATGTTTACTGGGCTTTTGTTACCTGGTGGGAGCCTGGGCTTCTTGAGCCCTTTTAGTAGAGAAAGAGTAATATTCCCAGAGCCATGGAAACATGAAAATTCCCCCTGTGCTTAAATACTGAGATGTACCAAGGTCTACTTTGGGAGGCTTCCCACTCCCCTACACATACACACATGTTCAAGCTGCCGAAGATTTATGCTGCAACCCCAAGAATAAGCTAATTTTGTCTGCATTCACTTGGTGAGTTCAAAACTGTGACTTCTCCCTCATAGTGACTAGATTCGGAAGAACTAATTTCTGAAGTCTCAGAAGAGTGGTTAGGTCTGAGAAATAACTTTTTTCTGTCTATAAGGCTCTTTTGTGGTTATTACTAACCTTCACTGAATCTGCCTGTCCCAGGGTGTGGCCTGGTGGAAGTCCTGCTGGGTCATCCTTTCTGTCCCTTGCCTTTCAGAGGCTCTGTAGCAGGTCAAGAAGAGTGGCCATCCCTGGGCTCTTGCAGGCCCTAGTGACTTTCTGCCCTTCTAGAAATGTTCGTTTTCGATTTATCAAATATTTCAAGCCTACAGTGAAGTTCAAAGAATAATTTAACTGTCATGTGTCCTCCAAAGATTTTTCAAGTATTATTAACCTTTTGCCATTTTAGATTTTGAAAAATAAAACAATCTTCCAGTGGAAGATCACTTCGTATTTAGTTTGTTTCCTTTTCCCATTGTTACCCAGAGTATTCAGTATCTTGAAGGTGATGAGTATTATTTCCATTTTACTACATATATATGATAAACAAAAAAATTATAGCATCGTTGTGTATTTTTAAAAGATATTTAAATGGCATCACAGTGTACTTGAGACCTTTTCCAAGTTACTCTTTTTTGTTTTTAATTGAAGTATAGTTGTCATACAATATTATATTAGTTTCAGGTGTACCAACATAGTGATTCAACAATTATGTACATTATGAAATGCTCACCATGATGTGTAGTTACCATCTGTCACCATACAAAGTTATTATAATACGATTGACTGTATTCCCTATGCAGTACTTTTCATCCCCGTGATTTATTTATTTATTTTATAACTGGAAGTTTGTACCTCTTAATCCCCTTCACGTATTTTAACTCTCCCCTCACTTTCTTCCCCTCTGGCAACCACTAGTTTACTCCTTGTTTTTATGTGTCTCTTTTTCTGTTTTTTTGTTTGTTTGCTCATTTTGTTTTTTAGATTCCACATGTAAGTGGGATCATTGGGTATTTTTGTCTCTCTCTGTCTGACGAATTTCACTTAGCCTGATGCCCTCTAGGTGCATCCATGTTTTTACAAATGGCAAGTTCTCATTCTTTTTTATGACAGAGTAATATTCCATTGTATATATGTACCATCTCTTCTTTATCTGTTCATCTATCAGTGGACACTTTGGTTGCTTCCATATCTTGGCCATTGTAAATAATGCTGCAATAAACATAGGGGTGCATATTATCTTTTCAAATTAGTGGGTTTTTTTTTTTTTTTCAGGTAAATACCCAGAAGTAAAATTACTGGATCATATGGTATTTCTATTTTTAATTTTTTTGAGGACCCTCCATACTGTTTTCCACAATGGCTGCACCAGTTGGCATTCCCATCTACAGTGCATGAGGGTTCCTTTTTCTCCACATCCTCACTAACATTTGTTATTTCATATCTTGATATTAGCTATTCTGACTGGTGTGAGGTGATTATCTCATTGCAGCAACCTACTTTTAACATCAACATTTAAGAGTCATTTCAATATTAGTATATTAAAATCAAGTTCATTTATTTTGAATTCTATATCATATTCCATTATAAGACCATACCACAATGTATCCATTATTTTCTTGATGGACACTGGACTGTTTATGATTCTGTTTTTGCTATTAGTAACACCATGAAGAGCCTTGTTCATGTATGAGAGTTTCTTTAGATCTCCACTGAATAGTACAATAGCCAGGAGCTTAAAATGGGGCTAGCCTAAATTGCATTGTGCTGTAAGTATAAAATACACACCAGACTTTGAAGACTTAGAATGAAAAAAAATGTAAAATATCTCATTAATGATTTTGTACTCATTGCCTATTAAGATGACAATATTTGTATATATTTTATTAAATAAAAGATATTATTAAAATAATTTCACCTATAATTTGGCTACTGAAATGTTTAAAATTATATATATGACTTGCACCATAATTTTGTTGGACAAGGCTGGTCTAGATCAGGGATCAGTAATCTACCATCTACAGTGTGGTCATCTGTGTTTGTAAATAAAGTTTTATAGGGAAACATGTCCATTCATTTTCATAGAGTCTATGACTGCTTTCCTGCTCCAACAGCAGAATTGAGTCGTTGTAACAGAGACCATATGATCCATAAGCCTAAAATATTACTCATCTGGCCCTTTAAGGAAATGTTTGTTGACTACCTATTCTAGAGCAATGATTTTTAGCCTTTTTTAAACAATGACCCACAGTAAGAAATATATTTACTATCATGATCTGACAAGCACACACCTGAAACAAAAGTTTCACAAAACAGTGTTTCAGAAATCCTTACTATAATATTTCATGTGTTCTGGTCCCATAGCAGCATATTTTGTTAAAATAAACTGCTGGTAAACTGCCATGACTCACTAAATTGACTTAGCCATTCATTCACTACTAGTGATTTGAATAACATTGCTCAAGGAATATATCCAAGGGGGGTGTGTGTGTGTGTGTGTGTTCACACGTACACTTATTTACGTGTTTTTTAGCTTTATCTGTTTATATACATTTCATTCAGTGTTTCTCTAGGTTTATGGAATGGGGAGCTTTGTCCGCTCAGCAACTCTGGTGCTGGAACTTGTCCCTTGGCAATTTTCTGGACCTGAGGAGCAAGAGACTCCAGGGGCCACTTTGGAGGGGGCTGGGTCGTTGCATTGCCACAGAGCTGGCTTCTCTCCTAGACCGAGGAGTTGTCCTTACTCACAACTGCATATCTAGGCTTTATCTGCAAAAGCCGATTGATGGATCTGATGAGAATAAACATATTTTACAACACTTTCTATGATTTTATTTTGCCAGAGGGTAAAATAAAGATAATCAACTGCCACAGCACTTCCTAAGGATCTGATATTTCCCAGAGCCCTACAATGACATTAAAATGTAAGAAATGGTGTTAGTCATAACCTTGTCATCACTGTCACAACTTACATTTGACAGCTGTAAAATATTTTCTAATGTGGTTCTAAGAATTGGGGGTGAGAAGGACGTGTTCCTAAAGAGTATTTCATGGCAGCTAACAAACTTTCTCTAAACTTTTCTGGTAATCAGCACAGGATCCCCAGGACTGTAAAGACCAGTGCAGGGCCTGGCAATGTTGAACACATAGAACAATTGATAAATTCTTGACTATAAGGTCATGTGCATTAAATAAGGCAGTTCTGATGCCAAATCAATACTGCATTGTATATTTCCTACGGCAGATATTAAGATATAGATCTGCTGTAGTGGGAACAGGAATGTCATCAGGAAATATCAGTTCAGACAAATCTGGGTTACCACCAACAGGGAGAGAGCTAGATTGATTGTGGTCTGCCTCATTTTGTGGTGAAAATGTCAGGTCAGAGTGAATATTCATGTAGTCCTTGGAAAAAGGGAAGGAGAAATCAATAAGCTAACCGCTCTACCTGATAATGGCAGTGTTTTCTCCAAGGCAAGTTATTTTTCTCTTGAACTTGGTATTCTGGTCCTTGATGTATTGGTAATGATGTCTTAGAGATGCAGCGAAAGATTTCATAGAAAGCCTAAGGGCAGATTCTGTACTTCAGGAAGAAGGGTTATGTTAACATGTTTCTGAGCATTGCACTAGAAGTCTGGTTAAATTGATATAAAGTTTTCCTTAATTCCAGGGAACAACCTAGACCCTTTGAAGTTCTGTCAAGAGAAGGCCAGGCAAAAAGAAATCCCACCTTTTTAGTCCTAATTTGCAATTCACTTGCCCTGTGATCTTGCAAAAGCTACCCAATCTCTGTATATCTCTATACATTGACTCTTATGATAATGTTCATGTTTTTCTTCATAGAGATGTTATATAGTAGGTGTTGTAAATGTTTTGGCCAACAGGGTCAGCATACGAAGGCGTATTTCCTCCCAAACCATGATTTTGGCATTTGTCTAAATTTTGTAGACTCACTCCTCCTAACCACACTTGAGAAATCTCCTACCATTCATGTGCATAAGGTTTCAAAAGAGGGCCCATTTTCTCTTCCCAAAAGCATTTTTTCCAAAACTTGCTGGTACTGTTCAGGCTCTGGGAGCATAGTAGGTTCATGACCCATCACCTGGTTTTTTAACAGAAACCAAATTAATTGCTTTCATTGTTTGTTCTTACATTTTCCAGGCACCTCTTAAAGATGAACAAGAGCAGCTCTGATTTGGAGAAAGTGAGCCAGGGCTCTGCAGAGAGCCTCAGCCCTCCCTGCAGGGGTGTCCCCGTCAGCTTCACCACAGGTTCCACAGACAGCCTGGCCTCAGACTCCAGGACCTGCAGCGATGGAGGTAACAGACTTCACCTTGACGGGGAAGCTTAGATTCTCCCGGGTCTGGAAGGCCAGCCCTGGGCTCACTGTCACGATTGGGAATGGCTGAGCTAGACCTACCATCTTGGTCCTGCTTTGCCCATGAGGTAGACTCCACCGAGGAAGAGTTGGCATTAATCCCCTGTTGGATACATGATGAGGTGCCTCATTCTGCTCCCTTTCCCCTGACACACAGTGCATCCACTGATTCCTGAGGTGATGAGCCATTTATGTATAGGTCTGTTCTCCGTTTCTGTCCTCGGGATTGGTTCTCAGGGGATTAGGTACTGCCAACCACAAGTTTTCACCCTCCATGTTACTCTCTCTCTCGCTGTCCGCCATCTTGTTCGCTCCTTCATGTGTATGAGTGCACACCCATGTGCATACATGCACACACACACTTGGACACAGCAGGTGCTTATATAAATGTTTGTTGAATTAAAGCATGGAGGCTTCATGAGGCTACCATCCATCCCACTCCCTGGAGAAAGCTCTAAGGCGTACTATGTGGGTATGTCCTGATTGGGCACATTCCTGAGAAGGAACTCTTGTGTTTCTGTAGTTGGGGTGGGTAGTATTAAAATCTCTCACCGTTTCAACATTCTTTGTGCGCGTGTGTGTCTTCTCCTGCATTTCTCTTAAACTCGCTTTAACATGTTAGTTTTCAACATGTGCTAACATGACGACCTTTCTCACTCCTGTGGAAATATTTCTTCCCAGTAGGCAATTTTGGAGTCGAGGCTTCCATCGTAAAATCACAATCACCAACATATTTCGATCGGAAAGATGAGTACTGCTAAGTCCAGAGCATATATTGTGTCAGTCTGCGGAGTGTTCTTATGGGAAACTTCTGATAGCTCAGACTTCAAAACAGGAAATCTCTTAGTCTTGATTGGGGTGGGATGTAGCAAAAGAGGGCTTGCTTTCTTTGCAGATTTTCCTGGGCTTCCATTTTTTTCCCTTTTCCCATCAAATTGTGCAAAAATTCTGTGAGGTGGATTATTCCACAGAGAGCTGGGCTGGGCTCATAGACTGTTGGACCCTGTGCCCTGATGTGCTCTCTTGGGGATTGTGACCAATTCTGAGGGAGCAATGTACAGTGGAGCCTCACTGGCCACCAGCCAGCTCATGTTGATGAGAACTCTACCTAACTGTCTGGGCACTGGGCTAGTCAGAACCAGCAAATCATGTTTGCTTTCAGGACTCTTCAGGTCTAGCTAGGAAGACAAGCCTAAAACACATGACACACAGGTGGCTGGTCTAAGCTAGGAGATTGGGCTTCCCAGAACATGAATGTTTATCAGGGCTTCCAGAAGAAAGAGGAATCAATGAGGGCTGAGGAAGGGTTCAGGGAAGGCGTTTGGAAAAGATGGCACTTCAGCTCATGTTTCAAGTGTGGTTACAATTGAGGAGGTAGAGGGAGGAAAGGGCTGGGCAGGTTACGGAAACAACAAAGGAGGAGCCAAGGCACAGGGTTAGCAGGGCATGCTGGGAAAAGGGTAGGACCACCTGACACACTTCAGTGGAAGCAGGCAAGGGGAAAATGGGACCAGAGGTTGGTGGGAAGGTAAAGGCTGGATTGTACAAAACTCTCAAAACCAATGTGCAGAAGTGGGAAATAATGGAGCCCCTGGGATTTAGGAGTACGATGGTGACACCTAACTCAAGACATTTTCTAATTAAAATGAATATATTTTCATGGTTCTGCCTTTATCACGAGCCAGTTATTCAATGGGAATGCACTTCAAAATTTGAATTCCTAGATCAACAAAAAGTGTATACCTTGTTACTAGACTTTGGGTCCTTAGAGTGAACCATTTCTACCTGCTGTTCCTGCTTATGGCTCTGTACCCCAGACCATGCTTTCTTTCTCCACCCTCCCTTTGTCACGTCTATTAGACGTTAGTCTGGAGACTATCTAGAACCACGCTGGTCATGAAACGTGAGGAACCCTTCAGTCCGCTTCTCATCATTAACCAAGGTGGCTTGCTTTCGATCTATTCCTAAACAGTTATCTTTCAGTCCCATGAATTCTTACTCGCTTTTACCTCATAAAAATAATGTTGAAGTATTTATCCATCACGCCTTTTGTGACTATTTGTATCTAGTACTGAAGCTGAGAGAGAGGATCTGAATAAGAGAGGTAGAGTTAGTTCAAGCTAAAGTTCCTGGCGACCAGAATGTAGTGTCTACTTCTCTAATATTAAATATAAAGATATCATTAGACTATTTGGTCAGTAAGAATTCACTAATGAAAAGAAATGCATTTTGCCGACTTTTTGTATCTGCCGTAGAGGCTGACCTGAGTGAGTTGAGGACAAAGTCATTCCAGAGGGTATCATAATAGTAGTTTGTGTAAATTTCTTGGAAGCTTATTAGGGTTAGTGGTTAAAGTTAGTTTTCTACTATTTGGGTTTTGTGGCAAAAAAAAAAAAAGTTTTACATTTTATAAGAAAAGGGGCGCCTTTTAGTCCGTTAAAGCGTCCAACTCTTGGTTTCGACTCAGGTCCTGATCTCAGGGTCCGGAGATGGAGCCCCACGTCGGGCTCTGCGCTCAGTGCAGAGTCTGCTAAAGTTTCTCTCTCCCTCTTCCTCTCCCCCTCTCCCCCATGGACGTGTGCACCCTTGTTCTCTTTCTCTCTCTCAAATAAATAAATAAATCTTTAAAAAAATTTATAAGAAAAACAAACATAATTGAAATGTATAACTTTAAATTTTGTTTACAAAGTATCATTTTTATATCAATATTAACTTCACTTCTTTATGCTTGTATTGCATGTCATATCCCTCAAAGCACATCTGTTATCCCATTTGTCCATGTGGGCAATTCAATTGAACAGTGAGTCAACTCAGTGGAAGGAAAAATCCATGTAAGCAGTTGTTTGGTTTATGCTTGGTTTGGGAGGGACAAACTGCATGTGTCAGGACAGATCCATGAATGCTGCCAAGAGGTGATCTGTAGTGAATAGCTGTGAGGCACAGTGGTCAGCTAAATGACCCCCACAGCTCGTCAGCAGAAGACTCTCATGCTTTAAATGGTTCCTTTTATTTTTTTTTAAGGTTTTATTTATTTATTTGGCAGAGAGACGGCGAGATAGGGAATACAAGCAGGGGGAATGGGAGAGGGAGAAGCAGGCTTCCCGCCGAGCAGGGAGCCCGATGCGGGGCTTGATCCCGGGACCCTGGGATCATGACCCGAGCCGAAGGCAGACGCTTAAGGACTGAGCCACCCAGGCACCCCTAAATGGTTCCTTTTAAATAGGTGAACCTGATGTCACATGAAGATCATTTTCCTCTTTGATTTAGGATAACGTTAAAATTCAGTGCCACAGTTTAACATACATCCTGGCTGCCAGGTTCCCACGGTACAGGAGATTAGAAAGAGCTCTATTAAACTGAAGCTGTTGGCACCAGCAATAGATAAGAGGTCCGGCCACACAGTGAATGTAGGTATGAATTCACATGAAGGTATGTACCAGGTTAGTGTTCGTATTTTTATGGCTAGCAGACCAGAGATATGGCCAAGTTAATGAAATATCTTGATAGTAGTCAGCTTCTTTTCCTCAGTAATTATGCCAAGAGGATTTTTTTAAAATATTTTATTTATTTGAGAGAGAGAGAGAGAACATGCACAGGAGAGAGCACTAGTGGGGAAGGGGCAGAGGGAGAGGGAGAAGCAGACTCTCTGCTGAGCAGAGAGCCCGATGCCATGCGATGCGGGGCTCCATCCCAGGACCCTGAGATCATGACCTGAGCTGAAGGCAGCCACTAAACCCACTGAGCCACGCAGGTGCCCTCCCCGCAAGAGGATTTTTAAAATAGATACATTAGTTCAGTCATTGACTTGATAGGTATTTGTTGAATCCAAACCTTGTGCTGGGTACAATTTTAGATGTTGAACATACAACAGTGAAAAGGAAAATGCCCAGTTCCTTCTTTCACATTCCAGTGGGGAGAGATGGACAAGGAGAAAGATAAAGGGCTAAAGTAGCCAGTGCGTCAGATGGCAGTAAGTACTATGGGGAAAAATCAAGCCAGGAAGTGGGCAGGGAGGGGTGGGTGGATCTGTCAAGAGAGACGGTAAGTCCACAAAGATCAGAGGTCGGTCAGGAGTGACAGCCTAACCTTCACTGAGCATTTGTTCCTCTACTCAGGCTGTTACTTGAGACTCTGTAAGAAGAAAAGGTGGCCCTTAAAAAGGCATCTAAAACTCCCTAGCTGAACACAGTGTGTTCTGACTATCAAACAGGCTGTCAGAGCACTTGATCCTAAATTGGTGGGGTTGGTCTAATATATTCCATTTGGTGTTTTGCTCTAACATGGTTAGGCCCGCCTCATCCCCCGCCCCGATGGAGACAGACTGAGTCATGGGTTCTATTCTGGGAGATGGATTAGTGAAGGATGAAAGAGCTATCCTGAAGGAAAAGATACTCATTTTTCAGAATGTCTGTGGCCTGAGCCCTTATAATATCACAGAAGTGAAGCTTTACCTTAGTTTAAACTATTCCCTTTAAGCTGAATTTTAAAATATATATTATTACTTCAATAAAGTCAGTACCTGTCTCTGATAACAATTCACATGATGGGGAAAGATATGAAGTGAAAAGACAAAGTCATCAGATACCCTCTAAACAATCTCCTGCCTTTGACATATTTTGAGCATATCTTTCTATATCTTCTCAGAAATTTTTATCCATATTTATTTTTTTTAATTTTTTTAAAGATTTTATTTATTTATTTCACAGAGAGAGAGAGGGTGAGCACAAGCAGGGGGAGTGGCAGGCAGAGGGAGAGGGAGAAGTAGGCTCCCCGCTGAGTGGAGAGCCCGACGTGGGGCTGGATCCCAGAACCCTGGGATCATGACCTGAGCCGTAGACAGATGCTTAACCAGCCGGGCCACCCAGGCGCCCCTTTTATCTGTATTTAAAATGTCATAATCCTCAATTTGACACATTTTTATATTTAATATATCTTGAAGTC